CAAGGATTTCTCTTCGAAGCTTTTGGTTCCCTATATTCCCACTCTACCAAGTAAGTCTTTTGGCAATTGAGCCCGATCTCTCCTCGATATGGACCCCTTCAGTTGACCGTGGGACCTAGAATGGCACCTCCCTCCGATTCTGGCATGATGCAGGCCGTCGTGTTCCATGGCCCCTACAAGGTCGCCGTGGAGCAACGGCCTATTCCCAAGGTGCAAAACCCGGAGGATATTGTGGTTAAGGTTGGATATACAGCACTCTGTGGAAGGTAACATGTGAAGCCTGATTGGACTCGAACACCATGCTGATTCCAATGTATAGTGAACTTCACATGTTCCGTGGCGTGGAGCCTGCAGGAACTGGCTTTGTCATGGGCCATGAATTTGTAGGAGAGATCGTTGAGACAGGCAGTGCCATCACGACTCTTCAGAAGGGGGACCGTGTGGTCACCGCTTTTACTACTTCCTGGTTGGTCATTCCCTACCTTCTGGCTGGATTTACTTGGGTAAAGTGCTGACAGCATATAGTGGGGAGTGCTTCTACTGCAAGCAAGGGTGGTCTTCCCGCTGCGACAAGAGTGGTCTCTTTGGATGTGACAACTTGGATGGCGGACAGGCCGAGTATGTGAGTTCTACCAAGGTATTTCTTTGGTTCGCACTTGAGAGATTGATTTTTTCTTTTAGGCCCGTATCCCCAACGCCGAGGGCTCGGTGCTGAAGGCCCCCGAGGGAGTGGACGAGAAGTATCTGGTGCTCATGGGTGACATCTTCCCCACTGGATGGTTTGCTGCCAAGAATGCATTCAAAAATTCCACCCCAGAGCAGATTGCTGAGCAAACAGTTGTGTTGATTGGCTGTGGTCCTGTTGGACTCTGCGCCCTCATCAACGCTCTCGAGTACAAGCCGAAGCACATCCTGGCGGTGGACTCCGTCCCCTCGCGCCTGGAGCTTGCTAAGTCACTCGGCGCCGAACCCTGGAACTTCCAGCTGGATCGTGCCGGTCTGGATAAGCGAGTGTTGGAGTTGACTAATGGACGTGGTGCAGATGCAGTCATCGAGGTTGTCGGATTGAGCCCTGCCCTTCGCACTGGCTTTGAACTGCTGCGTCCCTTTGGCACCATCAGCAGTGTGGGTGTCCATAACGGAGAGGTAAGTTGAGGTTCGACCTAATGTCAGACCTATGGCTCACAAGATGCAGATTCCCTGGGATGGCAATGACGCCTACAACAAGAACCTGACCGTTCAAATGGGCCGATGCCCTGTCCGCTCTGTGTCAGCTAAGGCACTCGAGGTGCTCAAGAAGAACCAGCATAAGCTTGGGTAAGTGGAAATGGTTACATCATCTCCATGCATGGACTAATTTCAATAGCTTCATGGCCGATAAGATTATGCCGCTGTCTCAGGCGGTGGAAGGTTATGAGCTCTTCAACGCGATGAAGGTCCAGAAGGTGATTTTCAAGGCTGATGAATAGATGTAAAGAGAAAAAAATTAAGGAAAAAAGAGTATGGAAGATTGTAAATCAGAAGTTCAAACCTCAGGAAAATGAAAAGCACATTGTGTCGGGTCGTCTCCGCTTAATGCAAAACACCCACCCCGTCAACTCTTCACTCTTCACTCCCTCTCACTTCCCCATCACCTTTCTCATCTTTCCTCCGATCTCCTTTCTCCGTTTCTCCTTTTCCCTTCCCTCTTCCTCTCTCTCTTCTTCCCCCCCTTTCCCTTGACCCTCTCAACTCGTCATCCTCCTTCCCCTCCATTTCTCCACTTCCACCCTCTTCGGTAAGTCGCCTCTTCCACAAGTTTCTATTACCGCACCCTATTCCTGGACATTCGCGCATCTTGGCCCGAGAGAGGCGCATGTCATTTTCCTCTTGAATCGCAAAACTAACCGTGTCGTTTCTTGGATGTGAAGTCTCTATCGCCCACATCCCGCGACCGTACGGTCTCAAAGAACTCGCTTTTACCTTTCGCCTCGTTATCGACCTCTCCATCCGTCTACTCTACCTGGTCTCTGCAAAAGAAATAAAAAAACAAAAAATGGAGGCCACTGAAATCCACCAAACCGTCGTCAAGGACGAGCCCATGTCCGACGGCTTCAACGACAACCTCGCCGAGGGCGAGCTGGAAACCCCTCTCAAGACCGAGGAGGAGTACTCTGTCTCTGAGCTGACTCTGCGTGCTATCGTGTCTTCTAAGGAGGCTGGTGTCATCATCGGCAAGGCCGGTAAGAATGTCGCCGACTTGCGCGACGAGACCGGTGTCAAGGCGGGCGTGAGCAAGGTAGTGCCAGGCGTCCATGACCGCGTTCTGACAGTGACCGGTCAACTGCGCTCACTTGCTCGCGCTTATGCGATCGTGGCCAAGGGTCTTTTGGAAGGTGCCCCGCAGATGGGCATGGGCGGCATTGTCTCTAACAACGGAACCCATCGTAAGTGAAGCCATCTTTTTCTTTCACCCGCGCTCGAAATAAAGAGATATGGGGTCATCTTTCTGCACAGAAGAACCCCATCACTCTATATTGAAAGCGCAGAAGAGTCCATTATATACATATGCATACGAAGATGTACTAACCGGATTCAGCCATCCGCCTTTTGATTTCCCACAACCAGATGGGTACCATCATTGGCCGACAGGGCCTGAAGATCAAGCACATCCAGGATGCCTCCGGTGTTCGAATGGTCGCGCAAAAAGAAATGCTCCCTCAGTCCACAGAGCGCATCGTGGAAGTCCAAGGCACACCCGAGGGCATTGAGAAGGCTTTGTGGGAAATCGGCAAGTGCCTACTTGACGACTGGCAGCGTGGAACCGGTACCGTCCTTTACAACCCCGCCGTTCGTGCTTCTCTCAGTGGCTCCCAGCCGATCACCAACAACCCCGCCCCCGGAAATGGTTACCCAAGCAACAACAGCAACAACAGCAGCCGTCAGTACAACCGGACTGGTAACGGTGCCGACTTCAGTGACGGTGGCTACAACCGCCGGTCGAACTCCGACGCCGGGTCTCGTGGATACCCTCTTGTGACGGAAGACGGCGAAGAAATTCAGACCCAAAACATCAGCATTCCCGCGGATATGGTTGGCTGCATCATTGGCCGGGGCGGTACCAAAATCACAGAGATCCGCCGAAGCTCCGGGGCTCGGATCTCGATCGCCAAGGCTCCTCATGATGAGACCGGTGAGCGTATGTTCACTATCATGGGAAGTGCCCAGGCCAACGAGAAGGCCTTGTATCTCCTATACGAGAACCTTGAGGCCGAGAAGACCCGCCGCAGTCAGCTTCCTCAGGAGTAAAGCGCTTCTCATATGCACGGATGAGACGGTCCTAGCGGTGCTCTTTTGTGTTTGACCTCACGACTTCCTTGGAGACTGTCGGTCACGATCAACGGCGGTCCTTTGCTGGCGCTTATTTCACGCTCTTACCCTTCCCATCTTCCTCCGAGTGCTCCAAGTCTTTTTCAAACCATCTCTTCTGATGCCCTGGTTCCACGTCGCTATTGTTCACAGGCAAAAGTTCACGACGAATGGATGGTACATGCGTATTAGATACCAAGTCTGGGTGGTCTTCACTGACCATCGTGCGATTGAATTGAATCCCCCAAATGTCCCTCGATCCTACCTAACCCTCACCTCGTTACGTTAATCATGACACTCCTTCACCTCCATTACCTCCTCCGTTTACGTCCTGCTGACTTTGCCGTGATGTATCTAATTCGCCTCTTCTCCTCTCTTATCTCTGATCCTCTCTTCTTCCCTTCCTCCCTCTTTCTCCCTCGCCCCTATCCTTGTCCCTTCACCTTGCATACCGTCATCTGATGGTATATATTGCTCCATGTTTCCTCCTTTCTATCTCTTACTCGTTATCCCTGTTCCTATCCCTTTGCGCTTATCAAATCTTACCCTTTTTTTTATCTACATGTATCTTGACCTTCGACCGAAACCTCTGAAACAATTGAAAAAAAAAAATCTTCTCTTATTTTGTGGGCTACTTTTCTGTCTGAAATTCATATAGCCAATGTTATACCTAGGTAGTTCTCACCTAGCACCTTGAGCAGATGCCCACATGCTATATATGTATCCTTCATTCGCATGGCTGCCTATGGGCATCTGGAGCCCACAACGTCTATGACATCCACATGCTATATCAGAAGCTCGCAGGTTAACGCTGCTACAGGGCTCACATGTCTTCTAGGTAGTGTATCTGCTTACCCGTCTAATATCTACTTAAGATTCGACAAGGCATAACAGTGAGGCCTTGTGAGATGTCCACAGAGCCCGGGTGCTCAATTGGCTGACAAGAGCCCTTCGTATAGATGAAAAAACCCCAGGCTTCTAGTCATCTTACAAATGTGACAGTCTAGATCGCAATGACAGACACGGATTTATACTGTAATCCCTACACAGAAAGTACACAAAGCATCCATGGATACCTAGGTACTCAAGTACCTCGGTACTTATTGCGAAATCAAGAGATTGAATAAACTCATTTCATTCCATTTCATCGTTATGTAAATGCTAATCTGTAATTCAACAGAAGAGAAGACCAGCCCGCAGCTAGATACAAATATGGGCAAAGTGTATGCGACAAAAGAAGGAAAAGAGACAGACAATGAACAAAAAAAAAAAGTCAAGAACAGAAGTCAGGGTAAGATGCAGACGAAGCCACCCTGTAAGCGTGTATGAACAAAAGACGCCACCAATGGATGTTTTACATGAAATGAAGAAAAAATAAAATAAAAAAGCAAAAAGCAAAAAGCAAAAAGCAAAAAGCAAAACACAAGGAACTAGGAAGTGCCTAGTGGACTGTGTGTATTTGAACGGGGATACTCTCTCAAGAGGCCCGGGAGAGGACATGAGGGATCCATCAGTGAATGGAGAAGAAGAGGTCTTTCAGGAACGAGAACGCCGAGTCGAAGATGATCCGCAAGAACAGAGATGGATGCGAAGTCGCTGCGTAAGTTGAGACATAGCCTGTATGGGAATGCAGAGGCAGGCAAAGGCGGGCGTTAATCGATGCTATCGTCTAGGTTGATGTTGTTGTTTGGTGTTGTGGGGGCTCGATTTCGCAGACCGAACCGCCGCGCGCCCAGACTGTTTGTTCGGAGCCGCTGTTGTTGGATTGGGGTGTAGCTTGCTGCTGTCTTGGTTGATGGGGCAGAGATTCTGGTCTGCGAGGATTCCAGAGGTAATCTAGAGTTTTCGTCCGAGGCCTGAACGTTGTTGGAAGAGAAGCTGGGTGTTAGACCATAGCGGCGAGAGCCAGCTTGGATATTGGAGCGGGCCGTTGCGGGGGTGTAAGTGGCTGGGCTCATGTAGCTTCGACGGAAGGAGAGATTGGATGAGAGGGTGGGGGTCCGGGGGGTGGGCGTTTGTGATGTTGGTTGGGGGACTTGAGAGGGTTGGTGTTGGGGTTGGTATTGCGGAGAACGGGGGGAGATGCCGATGTTTGCTTGGTCTGGCTGCGCGCCGGAAATGGATCGAGAGATGGTGCGATTGTGAGAGAACCGTTGGCGCTGAGGTATTCCTGGGGTTGAAAGTGGTATACCGATCTCGGTGTTGGCCCTGGAGACCGAGCGACTGTGAGGACTATCGGTCTCGCTATTCTCCTCGCCCAATGTAAGCCTGCGGCTGCGGAGAGAGGTTGATGCGCGGTTTAAACGAGTGCTCGGGGTAGGGATTCCAGGCGATCGGTTCGGGCTTTGCTTTATTTCTGCCAGGTTGCCTGGGCTGGTGTTGACCAGCGATGCTCGACGTGCATCGAGACGACTGGATATACGTGTCGTACTGTGACGTCGCTCTAGCCCTTCAGGCTCCTGGGTCGCTTGTCGCTGATACGACGGTACTGACATGCGCGGATTGGGCTCCGTGCCATTCGACAGCTGGGAATGCCCGCCAGTCTCGCGGCTCGACGATGGGCGATGATTCTTGAGTTGTTCGTCGGTCAAAGCGAGACATAGCTCGGTCAGGCTCCGGCACACACTATCCGCTTTGCGACGGGCGTGCCTGTCGGGAGAAGTATACCCCCCGTTCACGGCAGACATGTTAGCCAATTGGGTGGCATTGGCGCCCAACGCGGTGGTCAGGGTCAGAGCATCGGTGATTGTTGCTTCGAGGGAGGTATACACCTCACCGCTCAGGACAAGCTTCGCCTTGGAAAGCGCCGATTGCAATATAGGTTGCACCTGACTATTATAGCTCGAGTCCGTGTCTGCTCCCGAGACACTAGCTTTGCGGTGGTACTTGGGAGAGGAGGATATGGTGGTCATGGCTGTGTTTGCAGTCCGCGGTCGTTCGGTGGAAGGACTGTACATAGCTGCGGAGGATGACGGGGGTAGTTTCCCTGTCAGTTCCAGCTTTTTGATGCGATCCTTCAGTTCGTCGAGTTCGTCCCAAACAGTGGAAGGCGCGGTCGTTGACAGGGTCGATTCGGTTCCATCCACCCGTGATCGCTCTGTATCGGCTCGTGCTCGTTCGGTCACTTCCGACGTAGAGGGCTGCCGACTGCCTCGGATTGTAGAAATTCCGGAATGGCGGTGGCGCGGATCGTGCATAGAAGCGCGACGCTCGTCGACAGATGGTGTCCGGGGGGAGGTCTCTGGGCTTGTGCGGCTGAAGCGACTTCGAGGGACGCCGACAGTGGATCGCGAGCCAGTCCCCAGGCTGCTGTAGCGAAAGCGACCCGGCTCATCGAGCGGGTGAGCAGACGCCGGTGTGTGGGAGCTGTAGGGGATGGTGGGAGAATCATATTGAGCAAGCAAGGGGTCGGGGTTGCTGTATCGCTGATCGGGTGAGGGGGTTTGTTCTGAGGTCGGCGATCGCAGACTCTGCGTCGAATAACCCAGGCGTGACTAGCTCGAGCAGTCAGTGACGGAGTCGCGCAAGGAAGGGGTGGAGAGGTGCGGCGGTTGATGCCAGAAGCCTCAGGAATGCGATCGGGCCTGCAGCAGAGAGGTCACTCTTACTTACCCGTCTAAAATCTGAGCGACCTATGGAATCGCGACGGCCAGAATCAGCTCTCGCGATGTTTAGGAATACATCCTCGTTTTTGGGGCGGCTGTCGTCCATGGACTTGTCGTCGGTCCCCATTCGAGTGAGGTTTAAAGAGCGAGCATTTTCATTGAAGGATCTGGTTCCTGAATACGCCAAACTTGATGGCATGGTTTTTTTTCACATCAGGGCGAGGAAATGCATGGAGGCTGGGGGGAGGTTGAAGCTTAGACCGGCAGAGAGCGCTTCACGGGTGTTTCAGTGGTGGGGCCATCGAAGCGAGAGCAACAAAGGACACAATTGGGAGGACGACTGAGCTGGTTGGGCTGCGAATGGAGTCACGGGAACCTGCAGCTCTTCCGTTTCAAGGTTTGACGTTTTCTGGGGTTCGTCTGAGGTTCTGTTTAGTTGGTGGTTTGTACTAGTACTCCTGAAGTCCATAGTCGTAGGATTGTGTATCATTTTAGTTCTTCCTAGGTACTAATACTTAATGTGCAACTTTAGAAGTATTCCTAAAGTTCTAAAGTTATACTCAACATAATCAACAGAATACTTAGGTAGAATTGAGTTCTGCCTGCTATAGGCGATGGATGTAATATGTTATTGTGCGGAGTAGCCCAGCACTCTACATAGCGGACGGGGTAGAGGTGAGCAGGGACTTGATATGTTGAGTGCAAGTACAGAATAAGGACACAGAAGATAAGAACAAGCTAAGCATAAAAACAATAAGAAAAAACAGAAAAAACAAAACAAATCGGAGTAAATAAAGGCAAACCATGGTTTACCCTCTTGACAGCCTTGGAATCATTTAATTTGTTTCACTTGATTACGGGTTCCAAGGTTTAATACTATAGTACAGTATAACTCGCAGCCCGTACGGAGTATCTACTCGTACATCGTTATTCCTCTGGAGACTACGGGGTTATGACCTGATGTTTTGCTTCATCTATATGGCGTGGGATCCAGGCCCTGTCAGACCCATGGTGTGGATGGCGTTGGGAGTCGGAGTACGACCATACAAATATTGCATTACAAGGATCAAGCTTGCAGCCAGCACCGTGGGCTTTTTTTAGCCGACTAACGAGTTCGGAGCCATGTACTATATAGCTGGTGCGTCAGCCCTCGAGTTGAGGCTGGAGCAAGGCGCTGCTGAATATCCACTCTGAAATTGACAGGAAATTGAGCAAGGAACATAATACGAGTAGCTCTCGAGCACCCCATCCTCGCCATCGCAACTTTTAATCTATCTGATCGGACTTGCACAGCTCCGTTATCCCGAGGTACCGTCCCAGAGGATAATGTCGCCTAACATATGCAATCAGATCACGAGAGAATATGGTCACCAAGCACCCTTAGCACCAAAGGCTAGCTCCTTCGGCATCGCCACATGGCTTAGCGCAGCACTGATAAATTTGAAGGTGTGCGTGGGAATGTGATAATCCACTTGGGTATTGCGGTCCACTTCACGCTGAGAACTGGCGCCTGCGTACGTACGGAGTACGAGTGCTCGGAGTCTACTCCGTACTCGTAGCTACTCGTAGGCAGACATACTGATCCAGTTTCAGTCCATGGATCAAACTTGGAATCTGGGGCTATCAAATTGCGAGATGATCTATGGGTCTATGGGGCCATGGCAATCTTTATGAATCTACGGAGTGCGAAGCGCACAGAGTATGTAGTCCTCAGTCATACATGCAATGTGTCAAAATTCTCTCCATCCAAGTACTCCAAGCGACAGGCCTACCCCATTGTCGATCCACGGTTAGTGAGTAGGAGAAGCGGTCACTGTCCGGAGTACGGAGTACAGGCCAATGACAACCGTTGGAGGGACCAACGAGTCCGAAACATTGCACCTTCATGATCACCGTCAGCCGTCTCCCTGTCATTCGCCGGTATATTTAGAAACGACTTGACACACGCCTGGAGCTCCCCAAGATCATCCCCAAACGCCAGGGATAAGGGGTAATTTATCTGGAACTTTCTTGGAACAAACCTGAGATTGCTGCATAAGGAACGGGAGGCATGTGTGTTGAATCCGAGGCTGGGGGATGCATGGTCTGATTGGTCAATTTGGATCGAAGAAAAACGCCGATCCTGCGCCTCTTCCAATATGTACAGAATAGACAATAACCAGATGCATGCGTTGTACTGGTACATGCCGATAGTGGCATCTAAGTCTTGGCACGAGGCTCTCTGGAGAAGTTCCAGGACGATCTAGTTTCAGTTAGCCGTAACTCCATGAGTACACGTGGATAGCGGTCGATCTTGAAGACGGTAAGTACTCGTAGCTACAGCCGAGGTCCCGAGGAGACATATACATAGTAATATGGAGAACAAGGCATACTGATACTACGAGTAGTATACGGAGCACGGAGTACGGAGTACGAGTACAAGTAGTAGAGAATGGAATGTTGAAACAAGAGTAAGTGGCCCCCCCAATGCCAAGAGCCACTAGTGAGTACTAGCGTGAGACTGGCGTGTTTCACCACTTCAAACCAGTTCCATCGAGGGGTTTCAGGATGCTTCTGCTCCTCCGCGGGCTCCTCTTCTGTGTCCACTTACTACCAATCACAGCCTGTAACCGATCTTGTTTGCTTATCCCTCAAATATTGACCGAGCCCTACCAATCATCGTGATGGTGGAAACACCCACCGTTCACCCATGTAATCATTTCCACTCGTACTCTACGAGTACAATCTACCACTGTAATGGTCTACTTCGTAGTTACTGGTACATGTCATGTACTCTGTACAGAGTATAGAGCGAACCGTGCAGTGAATTTGGAATAAAATGGGGCCTCAGCTCGTACCTGGTCCGTACGAGTACGCACTGCAACTCCACCAGATCCCGTCTCCCTTGTCACCTCAACCCGTGTATTTATTCGTATCGGCAACCTAGTCTCTCATCCGTGCAATACACTAAGGTGGGTGAGGGCACACTCTCGAGCCTCTCATCTACGTGCGTTTGACGCCGCACATTCCAGGCTAAAATTAGAGCTCCCCGTGTGATTGGACCGACGGGGAAAAAAAAGTAAAGAAAAAGAAAAGAAGACGAGAGGGAAAAAAAAAAACACTGTTGGTAAAGTTACCAGTGGAATGGAGAGTGGAAATCGGAGATCTCGCAAAACGACCTAAGTGAACTAAAACAACTAAAACAAAGGGTCCAGCGCTTTTCCTTTCTCTCCCCCCCTCCAGAAGCGCTTGTATTGAACTCTGGTCTTCTTCCCTCTTCATATCCTCGTTCCCCGGAGGAACCTCTCCGTTTCTATGTTCTAGTCTTTTTTGTCACTCTGAGACTTATACACTTTCCCTTGCAACCTTTTTCCTTTGATCTTTACCCGCCTTGATCTGGTATGTGCCTCTGCATAATCATTTCCCTCGGATCGTTAGTCGAGTCCTTGCGTCTCCCCTAGATTTAGGCTAACGGGACCAGATCATTTGCGCAGGTAGCAAGTGCTTGGGTCCGAATGCCATTCTAAGTCCGACGACTTCCCTTACAATGCCAGTACAAACCAGTCCACCGTCCTTCCCGGACTCATTCCCTTCTTTCATGTCGGTCTTTGGTGGTCCATTGCCGCGATACAAAGAAGAAGAACCCATTCATCTCCAATATCCAACCCATGTCCCTGTCAACACACGACTCCTCCCGTCTCCACATCGCGAGAGTGTCTCATCCATGACCTCGGCTTCGACAGAGTCCTCTCCAACTACTACCATCTCGCCCTTTGATTCGCCCGGTGGGGGTGACATCTCCCCGAGCTCCTCCCCGGAGTCACCCTCGGCCATGTCGGTCTCATATCCAAAGTTCATGCCGAACCGTCCGGAGCTCCCCAGTCCACCCGCCCCCGACTTGCGCTTGCCTCAGAACCCAAGTCCAGACGCCTCCAATCGACGGGCGCGTAATCTGAAGAACCTGTCCCTTCGAATGCCACCACCCTCCCAATCTCGACCTCCCATAGCTACCGCATCATTGCTGGAAACAAGTTCAAAACACCACTTTGATGCCCCAGCGTCGCCAATTGCAATCCCTCCCAAGACTGGGAGGCGGCGCCCCGCCAACCTCACCATCCAAACCCCCACCTTCAACAAATCGTTTGCCAACGATGGCGTACCACCAACTCCCTCTCTGCGACATGCAGAATCATCCCCTTCGCTTGCTTCGATCACCTCGCCTTCCTTTGCGCCAAAGGGAGGTATGCAGCTCCCACGGCCAATGTCACACCACGGCCTCCACCGCCTGTCGGACATCTCCCAGGACTCCACTCTGAACAAATCTGATGACGCACCTGGCTTTTCTTGTCGCGTGCTTGACGGTCTAGCTGAAGAGGACGACCGTTTGGACTCCCGCGAATCGACCAAGAAGAAGGACCGTGGATACCCCGATGGCCCCATTCGAATCCACGACGCTGGAGTTTATCTCTACCTGGAACCTACCGCCGAGGAGGCGGCCAAGTTTGACGTAGTAATCAATGTCGCCAAGGAAGTCATGAACCCTTTCAGTGCTACCAAGGAGGAGAAAAACGATACGGTGATGAGCACCTGGCGGAACGCCTCGATGGCATCAAAACGCTTTTCCCGCGGCGAACCCCAGACTGCCATTTCAGAAATGTCTTTCAAATCGGCGTGGGAGTTCCAGCCCTCGGATTCTGAAACGGGCACCCCCACGGTTTCGAGCCCCACGGCCCCAACGCCAGAGTACCTTCACGTGGGATGGGACCATAATTCCGAAATTTTGGAAGACCTGCTTCCACTATGTGAGCTCATTGATGATCGCATTGCCGACGGAAAGAAGGTGCTTGTGCATTGTCAGCTTGGTGCCAGCCGCTCGGCATCCCTGGTCATCGCCTATGGACTCTACAAGAACCGACATCTCGATTTCAACTCAATGTACGAAGCAGTCAAAGGTCGTAGCCAGTGGGTCGGCCCGAACATGAGCCTCATCTACCAGCTCACGGACTTCCGCTCAAAACTTCTACGCGGATCCACCTCCAAACCCCCTCCCCAAGAATGGTTTGTGCAAACCGGCCGTCGATGCTCAGAGCCCCAAGTGCCCAGATCCGAGCGCCCCCCAACTCGCGAATCAAGCAAACGCGGCCTCAACCAAGCACCATCTATGAGCTGTCTCTCGATCCCCGAGCGAACTTCCATGCGCCCGACTACTAGCGACAGCAGCTACATCAAATTCAAATCTTACTCGCCCAAGCGTAGTCTGTCACCGCGCCCCCTGCCCTTCCGACAAAAATTCCAATCCGTTGAACCAGCTCCAGGCCGTCAACGAGGCCTTCCTCGCAGCGTCAGCAGCTGCGACCCCCTCGTCCAAACCCACATCTTTGCCCGCGACGCCCCTAACGCGGATGGTCTCTTCTCACCCCGGACCAACGAATTCTGCTTCCCGACACCCCTGGCACCACCAACCTTCCACCGAATTGACCGCTCAGCGGCGCTCTCCCCGCCTCCCATCCCGCAATTTGCGGCCGAACCGGTGGACCCTCGCTCGCCGCCATCTGGTGGAGAGCCCCTGATCATGAGATCCATCGACGAATTCCTGTGAATGTCGCTCATACCAGACCCGAAATGATTACACGACCCGACATATCTCTCATGTCTTCCTGATTTGAAGATCATATGCTTACTCCCGAGCTATTGGCCGGGCAGCCTTCTATTCTCTTAATTTCTTCCATTCATCGTCTGATAATTGGCTTGATGATTGGCTCGATGATATCCATGACCAAAGCGGGCTTTGCTGTCGCTCATCGTTTTCCGTTGCATACACTGCATCTTTTTGGACTCATTTTCTTTTAAATCCCACGACCACATTCTGGCTCAACTATCCACGGAGAGGGATTCAACACAAATGCTCTCGCTCTCACGTGGCTGGGATCTGTATTAATATCGAGGCTCCACCCTCTGCATCACTTGGCACCATCCAACGAACTCTCGCTTGTTTCCTATATCTTTTTGTTTTTCCCTTTCCACTTTTCCTATCTCCATCTTGTTCAGACAAAGCCTTCTCTCAGGCTTTCCTGTATGTTCATTCTGCATTCGTTACATTGGCTGTGGGTCGACTGACTGGCATGCTTGACTTATGGGTGGAAGAGGCATGATAATACCCCCTTTGCGCACTCTTACAATAGAGATTATTTCAGTTTCACTTTTCTCCTTTGTAAATTTGTAGCCTGAGCTTATAATTTCCGACCACTTGAGTGCGAGTATAGCATATCTGCCAAAAAAATTCCAATGTCAAAACCATCCCGATAGCGCTTATCATGGAATTTAGCCCGCAACAAAAACATCCCCAAACCCAAAATTTTCCCCCACACGCATTCAGCTCCCTAAACCCAGCACCTTAAACCCAAATCCAACCTCCAATGGCAGATTCACAACCAGCCTACTTGTCGCCCAGCGAACTAGGCACAAAAGACTAGTAAGTCAAACCTCACCAAAAAAAACCCCGCACCTACCCCTCCGTCGCAACCCCTCTAATCTCCAAAAAAAAGCTGGGAAACATACTACGCGCGCACCCTCGCACACATCTCCCACGATAAGCCGTCTGAGACCAATGAGTCCGACTCAGACGTCAATGACGAAGACGACCCTGGCACATCATGGTTCTCAGAGCATAATGCCCCGCAGAAAGTGCTGCGTTTCCTCACGCGCTCCTCGGCCCCGATTCCTTCGCGACGGGCTAGGAACTCTGCTTCTGTGCTTGATTTAGGGACTGGGAATGGGAGTATGCTTGCGCTATTGAGGAAGAGGGGTGGTTTCAATGGGCGGCTTGTTGGGGTTGACTATTCCAGACAGAGCGTGGAGTTGGCGCGTGAGTTGCAGCGGAACAGAGGGCACTCAGCTTATCATAGTGATTCCGAGAATGAGGACGAAGATGAGGATGAGGAGGAAGAGCCTGAGGCCGAAGCTGAGAATGAGATTGAAACTGGCTCTAAAGCCGAAGCTCCTATTCAGTTTGAGGAGTGGGACATTCTCGGGTCTAAGGCTGGGCTATCGGAGACAGGGCTTGGGGCCGCCTTGCCTGACGAGTCTCTTGCTTGGTTCCCTTATCAGGAGGGTGGCTTTGATATCGTGCTTGATAAGGGGACCTTCGATGCTGTTTCTCTGGCGGATGATGCGAAGACGAGTCGTGTGTGTGAGCGGTACCCTGATATTGCGCGACGACTGGTCAAACGCGGTGGGTTCTTGATTGTCACTACGTGCAATTGGACGGATGAGGAATTGGTGCACTGGTTCACGGGGGGTCGGACCACTGGGGATCGATTGACCGTTTGGGGCCGGGTTGAGTACCCAGTGTTCCGCTTCGGGGGACATGAAGGGCAAGGCGTCTGCACTGTGTGTTTCCAGCGGGTTGGGGATGCATGAATCGAGTGTAGTATATAAAAGGTTTCTTAAGTGTATGCTCCTTTTCGAGTTCTGAGATAAACTCGTCTATTCTATGTTCGTGTGTCGTAGGATATCATGAATGCAAATCATAACCATTACTCTCCTTTCCTCTTCAGCACAGCAACGACACACCATCTTTTCTGGTTCTCTACCCCTTCTCCCTCGCGGAATGGAACCCAATCCCTGCGAATCTCTCCACCATCATCTAGTCTCTCGACTAGGTCTCTCTCAAAGATCCTCTCCACGACAAATCCATTCTCCAGAACCGTCTCAAAGAATCCAGCTACAATGGCCCGGCCTGTGTGGAATCCAGCCACCACCCACACTTTCCCACCAGGCGAAAGGAACCACTGCATCGTGCGTGCGAGATTCTCATGCTGAGATCGCATCCAAAAACAATCCGCCGCGACAATTCGGGTGAAAGCACCCTTGTTCTGCGTTGAGAACGAATCGTCTAACACACCCCATTCATGCGGATGCATCGACACAGATCCCTGCTTCGTGCGAGCTACATTGTGCTCGATATTGTGCGTAATTGCACCAGTAAGGGCAGGCGAGGACGGATGATCCGTCGCAGCAACATTCGACGCTTTAGCCAACGCACAGACGACAGAGGGTAGAGCGGCGCCTAAACATATTAGTATAAATGTTCAATCCGAAAGTCAATGACCAGAAATCAAGGGGGAAAAAACCCACCAGCACCCAACTCTAGTACACTCTCTCCCTCCACCGCCCAGATCTCTCTAGCCTCCGTCCCCTCCGAGCCCGGCTCATCGGCCATCTCAATCCCCTCCGCCACAACCATAGCCGCGCTCCACAAGAAGTGGGCAAAGAGCTTCCGCCCCGCATCGACCTGGTTCACGGACCCATCGGGATTTTCTTGCCCAGCTCCGATCTCATCATTGCGCTTGCCCGAACTTGGATAGCTGGGGACCATGATGTCTAGGTCTCCATAGCGGGGCGAGCTGTAGAGGAGGTGCTGGCCTGGGTCACCGTGGAAGGAAGGTGCATCGTCGGGAAAGAGGTGAGGGAGGAAAGTGCCGAACAGATCTTCTGGGGATTCGTCGGCGAGGTCTTCGTTCTCGAATTCCGGTGTTGGGGCGCTCGGGGCGCTTGGGACCGCATTGCGGCGGGGGAGGGGTCGGAGGCGGGAATGGAGCATGTTAGAAAAAAAAAAAAAAAAACACCTCAAAGAAAAAAAAAAAAGTCCCTTGTCTCTTTCCCAAGACTTGTTGGCCCCGCGAGGTGGCAATTATTTACAATGAAGGGCAGAGTGTTTGTTAGCAGTGTACTGAACTGTGTATGGTGTTGCACCGTGTCGCGCCAAAGAAATTGTGAATGTTTGCATTGTTTGTTGATCTCGGGTAGATTAAGTAACCCCAGGTCTTTTTTTCTCAGCCCTGGAGGTCCGACCACGTCATCGGTGTTTGGGGGATGGTTTTTTGTTTTTTGTTTTTGTTTTTGGTGATATTCCCCCAACAAAGCAAATCAACCTGAAATAGATGAAACGTCGCAATGGATTCCACTTAGATTTGCCTAGGTCGAGTAGATCCAGTAGGCCCAAGCAGGTCCAAGTTGGTACCTTACCCCCAAGCCAATGTCAGCCGCAGCAAGAATGGCGGGCCAGGAACGCCCCAAAACAAGTAAGATCAGGGGGACCAAGCGACCCGAATGATTCTCAGGAATGTTGACTGGGCCACAATCCCCTTGTCTTCACGGAAGAGTTGAACTATCCTTCGTGCTCCTGCATCGATGGGCATTGGCAAATAATGTACCGGAGTACTCCGTCCGATGGAAGTCGTGCTCAGGTGAGTTCTTAGTCAGTCCATCACCTGATAAGGCAATGACATCACCGGGTCCACTTCCATCCGACTAGACCGTTCGAATGCAAGTGACTCAAGTGACTCCTAATTGTACTGTCCAAGTACCCAGTCCGGTTATTTGGCCCGTCTCCTCTTTACTGATACACACTCGTCATGGTGGAGTGACTTGATTGGTACTTCCTCTATATCTTGTGACCCTGTTCTGATCGACAGGCAACTGTGCTCTCTTTTTTTTTTTTTTTTTTTTTTTTTTTTTTTTTTTTTTTTTTTTCTTTTTTTTTTTTTTTTTTTTTTTTTTTTTTTT